TTTAATGTGTCATGAAGGTGAGAGAAGGATATGTTGAAGGATGTCTGAGGGAGCAAGAGAAAAGCGTTTGGGATGGATATGATCAAGATACATTGTATACATATATAAAATTGTCAAAGAATGCAAAATATTGTGAGAAGTTGAAATTTTATTTGCTTAATAATCAAGGATAATAAGTGAACCAGTTGCCATGCGGACAGAGAAATGCTTTTTTGTAGATCAAATACATCTAATATACAAAAAAGCCTTTTATTAGATTAGTTCTATGCATTTCTTTTCCAGGAATATTCTTTCTGTTGTTGTTTTTGAAGCATTTGACTGCATATTAATTAATGGTGTGTTGCATGCATATATGTATGTGTCCGTGCACATGCCAAGGCATACGTGTGGAGGCCCAAGGACAGCTTTCAGGAATTGGTTCTCTCACCACATAGGTCTCAGAGGTTGAACTCAGGTCCTCAAGCTTGGCGGCAAGTCCCTTCCCCTTTTGAGCCATCTTGCCTGCCCACACCTCGGTGGTGAGGACCCTAACTCAAGTCCTCATGTTCATGGCAAGCACTGTCTCCCCTGAGCCACTTAGCAGGCGTCTGGATGTTAATAATGTTAATAATGCATTGGCAAGTCAGTAATGTAACGAGTATTTTACTTATTTTATTTTTCTCTAAACCCAGAGGCTCAGAGATAAGTTATTGCCCCAAATAGCTTATAAAAGAGAAACTGCCTTTAATAAGCAATGAAACACATTAGGATTGTCTGCAGCCTTTAGATGTCCTTTTATGGCTTTACTCGGGTGAAACAGGTTTTTTTTTTTTAATTTTTTAATTTTTTTTAATTTAATTTTTTTTTATCAGTTACATTTTATTAACTCTGTATCCCAGCCGTGTCCCGCTCCCTCATTCCCTCCCAATCCTATCCTCCCTCCCTCATCTCCACCGTGCCCCTTTCCAAGTCCACTGATGGGGGGGACCTCCTCCCCATTCATCCGATCCTGTTTTATCAGGTATCTTCAGGACTGGCTGCGAAGCCCTCCTCTGTGGCCTAACAGGACTGCTCCTCCCTTGGGGGGTGGGGAGGTCAAAGAGCCAGTCATTGAGTTCCTGTTAGAAATAGTCTTTGTTCCCCTCACTATGGGAAACCAATTGGTTACTGAGCTACCACAGGCTACATCTGAGCAGAGGTTCTAGGTTATATCCATACATGGTCCTTGGTTGAATGTCAGTCTCAGAAAAGACCCTGTGCCAAGATATATTTGGTCCTAGTGGAGCTCCTATCCTTTCCCCATCATACTAACTCCCCATGAAACAGGTTTTAAATGACCTTTTAAAACTTAATTCTACACAGAGGAAACTCAACACATCCTGACTGTTAGTGTTCCTTGGGATTGTATTGTCTTTGATTTCATTAGGAAAAGAACATTTGACATAAGGCTATTTGGATATGTGTATATATATGTATGTATGTATGTATGTATTCATCACTTTATATTTATCACAATTTTAATAAAGCCTTCTACATTATTTGTATATTAGGACTATTCCTGGCCCTGATGACCTGAGTTCCGTGTCTAGGCCCTACTTGGTGAAAGGAGCGAGTTAATGCTGCAAGTTGCCCTCTGCCCTCCACATGCATGCTATGGCACCCCACCCCAACAGACAAACGAACTCAGTAAAAATTCAGGTGTGGCTGCACTGGAGAAATAAGCCCCCCAGTGAGAACTCACTTCACACACTCAGGGAAAATAAGGAAAACTCTTTAATAATCATGCAGGGATGGCTCCGGCTAATGCGAAAAAGGGAGTCAGCCCTGGACAAAAGCCGCATCAGCTCACACAGCTTCACAGCCCCATGCTGCGTGTGAGCAACTAAGCATGTTTGTTACGGTGATTTACAATGTGAAATATCGTCATAGCTATCCTGGCTTGACCAGGAATGGTCATCCCGTCTGCCTGGCAGAACTATGCTCCTTCCTGGTAAGAGATCTGGGAGTGCTCTTTCAGCTAAATTCTTCCTCGTGTGACTTAATATTTCCTGAGCAAGTTTAGTCGATCTTTTATAACATCAATGCAGTGTTATCAGCTTCTCCTATATACTATGACCACAAGCGTCTGTAGTCCCAGTGCAGGGTGACAAAGACAAGCATTTCCCTCGAACTTGATGGCCTGCTGAACTGGTTAACTCTGGTTCAGAGAGAGAAGAGACCCTGTCTCAAAAACAAGGTAGATAGATTTCTTTTTATTTTATTCAAACAGGCAAATATGGGAATGGGCAGTCATGGAATTTACTGTTAGGGAAGACCTTGGTCTAAATGTTTTGTCTCTCTTATGAAGCCACCAATGGTTGGCTCCTGAAAGCCGTCAATCTCAGCCCCCAAACTGTCTGAATTTCTTTGCCCAACCATACACAGACATGAATAAAGAAGTCTGTCCATCCACCCTGGGCTCTGACAGGTCCTCAAGATTTCAAATTCCTCTCCAAGACCTCTGGATCCCATCTCTTGGCTTAGGTGTGGTGGTATAACACCCCCTTCTGGAGGGAACTTTGCTCATCTGTGTAAGACAGAGGTGGTTTTTGTTTTGGTTTGTTTTGTTGTTTTTGTTTTTTGCCTCTCAGACCTGGTCCCCCATGCTTTTTTCCAAGTTAGAAAAGGGAGCTGGCTGCGGGCTCTGATCATGCTGAGTGTGGTGGTGGTGGTGGAGGGGACCTCAGCTGGGTAGTAGTGTCGGGATGCTGGACAAAACAATGGTTGCTCCTAAATTCTCCTTCCTGACTTTCAGCCAGTTATAATGACCCTGACGGATAGTCCCATAGTCTAGGCACAGATGTAAAGACTGTTGTGGCATGGGCTGAGTGCCCAGGTGTCTGCATTCTTCCCGGGGAAGAACAAAGAGTGGAACACCCAGGGACAAAAAGGCAAAGGCTCAGGGAAAGTGAGAACAGTTTCCTGAGGCAGCTTTCTTTTGGGAAGGGTGGGATCCCAGAGCTGGCAGGCCGCCCAGTGGACTCTGCACTGGTCTTTTAGAGGCCCTACAGCCTCGCATCTTGATCCCTGTTTTTTCTTCTCTTCTCCTATTACTACATCTCCTAGGCCGGATGGTTTTTTGGCTCCTGGAGCTGAACAAAGACAGTGAGACGGCTCCTGGCCGTTTACAGTCTGATGTTATGTGGGACCGTTGGCATTTTCCCTGACAGTGGCGCTCTGCCAACACCCCACACGGCTGTGTGCTGATTCCATAACTTGGGTCTTACGAACCACTCTATGTTTTCTTTATTCTTTTCACTTTACGCTTCTTTTTTCTTTCTTTCTTTCTTTCTTTCTTTCTTTCTTTCTTTCTTTCTTTCTTTCTTTCTTTCTTTCTTTCTTTCTTCTTCTCTCATACATTACATTCTGACCACGGTTTTCTCTCCCTCCTCTCCTCCAAGTCCCTCCCCCAACCTACTTCTCCTCTCCCTCAGAGCCTCCCCTCTCCTTTTCCCTTCAGAAAAGGGCAGGCCTCCCAGGGATATCAACCAAGCCTGGTTCTTTGAAAGGTGAATGTGAATGTGTCATTTCTCATTGTTTTCCTACACTTCTTTCTGCCTCCAGGACAAAAATAAAAGTCTTACAAAATTCCTAGGGCTTGTGGCTGCTTGCTCTCCCTCCGTTCCCTTCAGTCTGGCTTTCTCTCTTGCCCACCCTGTTGTGTTAACTCTCTATAGTATACCAGAGAAACAAGGCCTCCAGTGAGAGCTCCCCTCATAAACTTAGGGAAGGAAAAACCTCTAATAAGAATAGCTTCTGTCTTTGGACTAGTGACCAAAGAGAAACTGACCCTCCCCAGAAATTATTTGAGGCTTATGTAGGCCTTGAGTTACAGTATTTCCAATATGGTGTCACCTGAACATTTCCTTTAGGTCCCAGTCCCCGAGTTGCATTCTGAGCAATTAAACATGTTTTATAGCAACTGCAAGCTTAGTCATATTAGACAAAACAGAGATATACCAGCAGCGTTAACCGTAAAGCAGGTCAAAACGAGGAGCTAGATACTGTAAAAGTTCTGTCACAAATGTTACTCGGCACTTCAGCTCTTTGCTGGCTGCCGCTGTCCACAGTCATCCTGCCAGTCTGGCACAATTAAACTCTTCCTGGTAGAGAAATGGGAGCCAGAACTTTTGATCAATACTGCACCCCACCCTTTTGGACTACCTGATAAAGGCACGTCCTGTGACATGAGAAAGGGCCTAATACTGATGGTAATCTTAATGAACACAGCTGGCTGTCGCTTCTGAAATGCGCTTTTCAGTATTCTCTCGACCTCGGTTGCCTTTAAGACTCAGCTCAAGCGCCTCCTCCTCCAGGAAGTCTCCCGGGCCCTCTCACCCTGAGTGAGACGCCCAGTGGTCCCTGCACCTCCTTTCTCACAGTGCTCACTTTAGTGTTTACCCATCTGCTTTTCCACTGCTGTCGCGGTTATGTTTTCTCTACCTAGCAAAGGGCTCGGATTGTTTCCCTCAATTATGCTTGTTGAATAAATGACTGACCTCCTGAGTGAATGAATGAATGAATGAATGAATGCCAGTCTATGCTCCTCACAGGGGTCACATACTTAATTCTCGGACTAAGTCCAGGCCAAAAGTGGGGAGTCCCCATTAGGTTCCTGCAGGACCCCCTCTGTTCCTCGCCCCTCCTGAGTCTGACTCACACTTCAGTGTCAAGGGGAAGCTTCTACCAGTAGAAAAAGGAGCCGAGGGGGAGGAGGTGAGCAGGGGTTTTTGCACCTGTTCAGACAAAAATTGGGAGGACCAGAAAAATGTGTCAAGTAATTTCTAACTAGAACAACTTTTCCATGGAAGTGAAATGTGTGGGCCTCCTCGGCCCCCTCTCTACTCATTTCACCTCATTTCAGCACCCTCCCCTTCTGAGTCATGCTGGCAACTTCCCTCCTGGTCTCTGGTCTGCTGACCACCTTTCTTCTGATTTGCTTCCTCGGTGACTTAGTAGCTGTTTCTGAGTTGCTAGTTGCTCAGAGCCTCACTCCTCTTCTCCAGTCATGAGCCGCACATGGAAAGCCCTTCTTCTGCTGATGGGTGAGCCAGGTCCCTGGGCTGGAGGCGGTGGTTGAGAGGTCAGGGGCTTGGGGAGGAGAGAGACTTGATGGTAGGGAGAGGCTGAGACATAAGGCTTTGGAGCTAGAGTTTGGCAAACGAGAGACTATTGAAGAGCCAATCTGGGGGAGAACCCAAGAGATCCTGAGAGTGAGGCTAGCTGGTCTTGACAACCACAGATTTCTGAAGTAGGCAGAGCAAGCACATTTCACGGTGTGCCCATAATACTCCTGTGGCTTTCAACTTTTCCTTGGATTCTCCCTCATCGAAGCCACAGTGGTAGAGGCAGGAAAAGAGTATCTTCAAACTTTGAGGACCACACTGTGGAAACAGAGAACTGAAACTTGACAGTGGAAGGTACCTTTGACCTGAGTGAAGGAGAGCAGCGAGATGAGCCTGGATTCCCGGGGCTAGGGGTCCTGGGATATTGAGTGTGGAAGAGAGGCAAGAGAGTCAGCAGCCTGGGAGATGCAGCTGAGCTGGGCAGGATGGGGGCAGGAGGAGGAGACCTTCTCTACAGCTTGTCCTCCTCCCCAGCGTGTGCTTCTTCTCTTGGCTTCAACCTGGACACGGAGCAGCCGACGCGTTTCCACATGGACGGTGCTGGCTTTGGACACAGTGTGGCCCAGTACGACGGCTCCTGGTGAGGACTTGGCAGTAGCTGCAGAGTGCCATCTCTCCCAGCCCCACACTCCAGTGGTGTCACCCGAATTCTTTTCCTGTATGGGATGTAGCAGTTTTCTTTGTGTTCTGAATGTTTCACAGAAAACAGGCCTTTGGGATCACATTTACCGAGTGCTTACTGAGTGTCAGTGCGACACTGTGGTCTTCAAGCCACAGAGGATGTTCTGTTGTAGACCTCATGGCACACTTAAAGAAACTGTCCATCTAACATATATTTACTAAATATCTAGATGCCAGAAGGAGAGGGCTCCAATTAGGAGAGAAAAAGATCCACCCACCCGGAAGTTCAAATGTTATAAACCTCTGTTTCCCAGAGAGGTGGCGTGAGCTCTCTGACTGTGGCGCGCTCTGTCTCCCCACAGGGTGGTGGTTGGAGCCCCAAAGGAAATAAGGGCCGCTAACCAAACAGGTGTTCTCTACAAATGTGGCTATGACACGGGGAAATGCCAGTCCATCCAACTCCAGGGTAAGTCACGGCCCTGCACCAGGCCCAAGGCTGAGCTCCTATGCCATGGGTCTGTGGAGAGCTGCAGCTCTGTCCATAGCCTCGGTCTCAGACAAGCTCCTGGGCCTACCCATTGTACCCCAAGCTGCCTCAGCTCCCCTATGATGTCTTCTTCCCCTCTGGGGCCTCCCTGTCAACCGGGTGGGGGCCAGACCCACTCGGCTCTTATAGAATGTCTGACTGTGCACATGTGTATCTCCTCAGTGCCGCCAGAGGCCGTGAACATATCCCTGGGCCTGTCCCTCACTGCTGCCACCAACCCTGCCCAGCTGTTGGTGAGCGCCCACAGTCGCATGGGAGGGTCTTCAGGGGAGGGATAGGCTGTGTTGCTGGGGGTGTTATGGAGGCTGGAGGTGCAGGGGTTGGAGAATAGACCAGACCAGAACAAGCCCCATTCATCACCACCCTCTGTCCCAAGGCCTGTGGTCCTACCGTGCACCACATATGCAGAGAGAACACATACTTGACGGGGCTCTGCTTTCTAATGAGATCGTTCCTACAGAACGGGAATATCCTAACTACCCAGCAGGGTAAGTGTTCAGGGCCACCGGCTCCCCTGGAAGTCCACACACATCCGTCTGGGGTTCAGTGGGTCAGACCCTTTTCCAAAAGTGAATAAGGAAAAGAAGATCCGAACCAATACGCTGCCAGATGGTACAGCGGCTCCAGTCACGGCTGGAGAGATTGCTGCTGGTATTGACACCTGTTCTGTTATTGTCTTGAAATGCGGCAATGTGGCTAGGAGTGGATGGAACTTAGAAAGTAACACACAAAGCGACCCGCAGCCAGCATCTAGTACAGTACCTGACCTGACCTGACAGTGCCAGTGATATAAGCTGTTATTATTCTTAGCACTGATGTGAAGGGGACTCGTTTCCCAGTGGCTGGTTCAGGCAAGGGTCTGGGTCTTGCTGATGAAGGTGTAGTCTGAGTTGGATGTATTTATGTTCTCTCCCTCTCTCCTTCCTTTCTCTCTCCCTTCTCTCCCTCCCTCCCCCTCTCTCTCGCTCTCTTTCTCTCTCTCTTTCTGTGTGTGTGTGTGTGTGTGTGTGTGTGTGTGTGTGT